GAGGATGATGATGATGGTGATGATGATGATGGTGAGGATGATGATGATGATGGTGATGATGATGATGATGATGATGGTGAGGATGATGATGGTGATGATGATGGTGATGATGATGATGGTGATGATGAGGATAATGATGGTGATGATGATGGTGATGATGATGGTGAGGATGATGATGATGATGATGATGGTGAGGATGATGATGATGATGGTGATGATGATGATGATGGTGATGATGATGGTGATGATGATGATAATGATGGTGATGATGTTGATGGTGATGGTGATGGTGATGACGATGGTGATGATGAGGATAATGATGGTGATGATGATGGTGAGGATGATGGTGATGGTGATGATGATGATGGTGAGGATGATGATGATGATGGTGATGGTGATGACGATGGTGATGATGATGATGATGATGTTGATGATGATGGTGATGACGATGGTGATGATGATAATGACGATGGTGATGATGATGATGATGGTGAGGATGATGATGATGATGGTGATGGTGATGGTGATGACGATGGTGATGATGATGATGATGGTGGTGATGATGATGGTGATGACGATGGTGATGATGATGGTGATGATGATGATGGTGATTATGGTGACCTGTCTCTCTCAGGGTCCGTCCTGTTGGGAAGACGTTCTCCTCCGAGGTCGTATCCATGGCGTGTGTCAATCAGAGAGTTGTCATGGCAACGAAGCGGTAAGAGGGCGGGGCTTCTGTGTCACAGAGCCATGATAGTTAAGTGTGTTCATCCAAAGGTATTCAGTGTGTGTGTGTGTGTGCAGGAGTTTTACATGAAGTGTGCGTCCCATCCGACATCAGAGGATGATGTCTCCGTGGCGCTCGACCTCATCATGACCAACAGCAGAGAAGTCCCGTGTATTGCCTGCACCGACGTCATGTAACACACACACACACACACGCATACATACATACACACACACACACAGACACAGTGAGGTCATCACACGCTGAGGGGACGTCTGCTGTCCGACACATGTCTGTGTGTGTATCCCACAGGGACGTGGTCCTGGTCTTCCAGTGTTCAGAGCGTCATGTGATCTGTCTGGACTGTTTCCGTCGTTACTGTCAGACCCGACTCAACGAGCGCCAGTTTGTTCACCATCCTGTGATTGGCTACTCGCTGCCGTGTGCCGGTAAGACGTCACATCGTGGACTCAATACGTTATCAATACAATTGATACACCCATCTGACAGGGTTCAAATGTTTTAAATATGTTTTAATATGTTTAAATGTTTTTTTTTTTTTAAAAATACTATTTAATTTATTTCATAAATGTGTTAAAATCATTTTTAAAATTTAGGTTTTTTAATGTCATTTTTTAAATTTTCTTCTTTCTTTTCCTTTGTCTGTGTTTAAACATGTGACATGTGACACGTGCAGCCGGCTGCGTCGACTCTCTCATCAAAGAGTTACATCACTTCAGGATTCTGGGAGAGGATCAGGTGACACCGTCCTTCTTCCTCCTCTTCTTCTTCTCCTTCTTCTTCTTCTATAGGGGCCGGGCAGGCAATCCTGCCAGGACCCTCTTGTTTTCCTGCTCGTTCTTTCTTCTTCTTCTTCTTCTCCTTCCGAGGAAATCCTACTTCCCATGCGCGATAAATCACCAAACTTTGCACAAAGGTCCAGTCCTATGCCAGATTTGCCAAGCTGCAAACACAAGTCAGTAGTCTTCATGGTGGCGCTACAGCAAGTGTCTAAAGTTCAAAACTGTGAAAATTCACAACACATCGACCGTATGTGCTACAGCTTCGTAACTTTCACCAAAATGTAGCCCCGATACTGAAAAAACTTTTGTACATTTAAACCTATTGCAAATTATGAAGTTCATCACGTTTTTTTTTCAAAAACTGTAAAACTTCTTAAACCATTCTCCTCCCTTAATTTTTGCTCAGTTAACACCAAACTTGCTACAGAGCATCTTCAGACTGTCCTCCACAAACTGTCCTCACAGATTTTTGATTTATCAGAAACTGAGCCTACAGTGCATCAAAATGTTTGACTGTAAACAGTACTGTAAACATATAATTGCAAATTCTTGCCAAATAAGTTTTCAATGTTCATGAAAAAAATTGATGACGTTTGGCAAATATCAGAATTATATATCAAAAACTAAATTTTTGACAGCATTTTGAATTCTGTCCTCATGTGAACCATTGCTGTCAATGGGAATATTTTACACATCAGTTTTTCACTTATGCTGATAATCAGTCTTTGTTCTTTTTCAGATTTTTTGATAACTGAATTTATGGCAGCAGTTTGAAATCTGCCTTGACAGCTGCTGTCATCCTGGTGGCTGGCTTACTCAGCCACAGATGAGTTGTCACTGGCTGATTAGCTCAGTCAGATAGAAGATGCTCCTTGGTGTCAGAGGTTGTGAGTTCAAGCTTCAACTGATGCAAAATGTACATTGTAATGGCAACTTTCTTGTTGTCTTCTTATTCTGCCTCTTGTTGCTCAGAATTGCCTAAATTTGCCTAGAATTGCCCGGCCCTGACCATTGCTGCGCAGCAGCTATAATCTTCTTCTTCTTCTTCTTCCTTTTCTTCTTCTTCTTCACACACTGTCAGAGGATTAATATATATACACACTTAATTTGTACACACTCTATATACACATTTGTTTTTTATGTTTGTTTGTTTATATCAGTGAAGGATGAAGATACAGATGTTTCACTCTTTATTTAAGAGACCAAACTGTCACATTAAACTTAATTTAAATCAAACTTTGTTTAAATCGAACTTTATTTAAAAGCAAACTTTATTTACATTAAAGCTGCAGTAGGTAGAAAGCCTGAAAACGGTTGATTTTTGAGTCTCATCTGAGTTAGGTTTTGTTCGTCTCCGCCCTGAGCCCCTCCAACCAGACGAGCACGCGAGTATTTTATCCTACTTGGTTCTATTTCTCCTTCTTTAGAGGCTGAACACAGAGCCATGGTGAGGTGCAGAAACCTATTGTTTGTCTCAGACCACTTGATTTACATTATGCTTAGAGGATATTATAAAATTTTTACTCAATTATACCAAAACAATGTTACCTACTGGAGCTTTAAATTGTATTAAAAATCAAACTTTATTTAAATCAAACTTTATTTAAAATCAAACTTTATTTAAATTAAATTTTACTTAAAATAAAACTTTATTTAATTTACATTTTATTTAAATTAAACTTTATTTAAAGTCAAACTTTATTTACATTAAGTTGTATTAAAAATCAAACTTTATGGGACTTCCGGTGATGGCAGACACGGAGTAGACGCTTCTACCCCACTCTCCCATACTCTTTACAATTTTATTCTTGTTAACCCAACTCTTCATCTCTACCAGCAAACTGGTTCATTGACCTCAACGTCATATCGCCTCCTGAAATGGCAAATAAGCACGGAAAACAAAGTAAAAAAGACCCCAGCGAGACAACTGCTAGCGACGTTAGCATGGCCGCGCTAACCAGCCTTCTGGAAGGCCACAAGGCTGACCTAGCAACGGAGTTCAAGGCATCCTTTTCGGCGCTGGAGGCCAAAATACATCTCGTACAAGCTCCTGTGTCCAGCCACGGCCAACGAATTACATCTCTGGAAACTAATGCGGACTCAGTAGATGAACGCCTGCTAAGTCTGGAGGCTTTGTGTGCAGAGCTAATGGCTATCAGTGAAAAGCTAAAATGGTGGATCTGGAGGCTTGAAGCTGCCGTAACAACGTTCGTATTATAGGACTTCCTGAGTTGATTGAAGGACCGCGACCAACTGATTTTTTTCTCCACACTGCTGACTCAACTTCTGGGTGAGGAAATACTACCGACACCACCCGTGCTAGATCGAGCACACAGATCCCTGGCCCCAAAACCCAAGCAAGGCGAGAAGCCAAAGTCGGTCATCGTCTGCTTCCATGATTATCAAACCAAAGAAAAGGTTCTCCGCGAGGCCTGTAAGAGGAGATCTGAGCTGCAATATCAGGGTAAACCTGTGGTCTTCTTTGAGGTGACCCCGAGGTGATGGAGCAACGGGCTGTATACTGAAGTTCTAATCAAATAATCAAATAATTATTGGAGGAGATTTCAACCACGTTCAAGATACAGACCTCAACAGGTCCTCCACCAAACAGTCTACATTGTCTAAATCAGCCAACGCTTTAAAGTTTCATGCAAACCAGTTAGGCCTAGCTGACCCCTGGAGGACTATGTATCCTTCCAGAAAAGCTTTCTCCTTCTTCTCTCATGTTCACCGGTCATACACGTGGATTGATTTCTTCCTGCTTGACAATAGATTATTACATGAGACACTGTCGTGCGACTATCACACTATAGTAATTTCAGATCATGTCCCAGTTTCTTTACATATAAATTTTTCTCAGGGCAGACCACCCACCAAACTCTGGAGATTTAACTCTCATTTATTATCTGAACCAAAATTCAAAGACTTTGTAGCCTCTCAAATTCAGCTCTTTTTTGAGATAAACGACACACCAGACATTAGTAGTGACATACTCTGGGAATCTTTTAAAGCCTACCTACGCGGACAAATTATGTCTTTCATCTCTGGTTTCAGGAAGTCGGAGCACTCCAAATTGAAAGAAATCCAGAGATTAGATGCCCGATACTCTGCTGATCCCTCTGACACACTGTATAAGAAACGAGTACAACTCCAATCACAATATAATCTGTTGTCTTCCGGTCGGACAGAGAAGCAGCTGCTACTCACAAAACAACGCTTTTTCGAGATGGGGGACAAAGCAGGCAAATTCCTGGCATATAAAGCACGGGCTGAGGCGGCATCTAGACTCATACCGAGGATTAAGCTGGATTTGGATGAAGTTACACCCGATCCCACCACTATAAACAACGCCTTTGCTGACTACTATTCTAGATTGTATTCCTCCGAAACCTCCTCAACTGATTGGGAAGGCCCAAACCCTCTTGACCTGCTTACGTACCCACAAATTGATTTAGCGGCTGCAGTAGATGTGGGTGCACCAATCACTGTGTCTGAGGTTAAAGAAGCGATGAAAGCCTTACAGAGTAATAAATCACCCGGGCCCAACGGTTACACCACAGAGTTTTATAAGACCTACTTTACATCTTTAGCCCCAATTCTAGTCCGAGTTTTTAATGAGGCCCTGGAAAAAGGTCGACTGCCACCCACTCTATCAGAAGCTTCAATCACCATATTGCTAAAAAAGGATAAAGATCCGCTACTGTGTAGTAGTTATAGGCCAATCTCTCTCCTGAACGTAGTTTTCAAAATTTTAGCGAAAGTGTTAGTCAGTCGCCTCCAGAGAGTTATGCCAGTTTTAATCAATCCAGACCAGACTGGCTTCATTTCTGGGAGGCACTCATCCTCAAACACTCGGAGGTTATTCAACATTCTTTACTCCCCTCCTACCGACTCTCCTGAACTCGTTCTATCTGTTCTATCCCCTCAGTCTCTGTCAATGATCTGGTTCATAGTTTCAGCTCTAAAGCTATGAATATTATGGACAATATTGCCCCCATGAAGGTCAAAGTTATCTCTGGTAAGAAAAAAACACCATGGAGGAATGCCACACGGATAAAAGCTCAAAAAAAGAGAATGCAGAAAAGCAGAACGCAGGTGGCGAAAAACTAAACTCCAGGTTCATTATGACATCTATAAGGAAAGTCTGCACATCTATAGCTTGTAGCTAAAAAGGGCGCGGCAGTCCTTTTTCTCTGAGATTATCAACAAAAATAACAACAATGCACAGACTTTATTTACTGTTGTTGACAGACTGACAAACCCATCAGCGTCAGTCCCTCCTGAACTGCTATCCACCAAGGCATGCAATGACTTTGCTTCTTTTTTCACAGACAAGATTTTAAAGATAAGACAGACAGTCTGTAACTCCAACACAGTGGCTATTTCACCTGTGCCTCATAAGACTACTCCAGTTAATTTGGCACTTTTTCACCCATTAAATTATGCTACTTTGACAGACATAGTTAGAAACCTTAGGTCCACTACCTGCTGCCTTGACACTCTGCCTACAAGCTTTTTTAAAGATGTTTTTAACTGCATAGCATCAGATATACTACAGATAGTCAACTGTTCTCTTCAGTCAGGCCTTTTTCCAACGGCCCTGAAGACTGCAGTCATTAAACCTCTCTTAAAAAAGCCTAATCTGGATGCCTCAGTAATAAATAACTACAGGCCCATATCAAACCTACCATTTTTAGGAAAGATCATTGAAAAGGTTGTTTTTCAGCAACTTAACACCTTCTTGGAGCAAAACAATTCCTTTGATGCCTTTCAGTCTGGATTTCGAGCACATCACAGCACTGAGACTGCACTTGTAAAAGTTTTAAATGACATTCATCTGAGCAGTGATGCATCAAAGATTTCGGTTCTGGTATTACTGGACCTCAGTGCTGCATTCGACACAGTTGACCATAACATACTGCTCGACAGACTAGAAAAGTTTGTGGGACTTTCTGGCACTGTGCTAAATTGGTTTAAATCTTATTTACAAGACAGGGATTTCTTTGTGTCACTTGGCAATTATGAATCTGTGCGAACAAAGATTACATGTGGAGTTCCTCAAGGGTCCATTCTTGGGCCTCTTCTGTTCAACATCTATATGCTCCCTCTTGCTCAGATTATGGAATATCATAACATCTCCTACCATACTTATGCAGATGACACACAACTTTACATAACAGTGTCACCAGATGACTACAGTCCCCTACATCTGCTAAATAAGTGCATTGACGAAATCAATACGTGGATGTGCCAGAATTTTCTACAACTAAACACAGACAAAACTGAGATAGTTGTTTTTGGCCCCAAAGAACAAAGATCAATAGTCAGTGCTCACCTTGACGCCATGACACTAAAACCTACAAATCAAGCCAGAAATCTTGGTGTAGTTCTGGACTCAGACCTAAATTTCAATAGTCACATTAAGACAATTACTAAATCAGCCTACTACCACCTTAAAAACATAGCAAGAATAAAAGAATTTCTGTCTAAACAAGATACAGAAAAACTTGTTCATGCTTTCATTTTCAGCAGGCTGGACTATTGTAACGGTGTCTTCACAGGCCTGAGTAAAAAATCAATCAGACAACTGCAGCTCGTCCAGAACGCTGCTGCCAGAGTCCTCACCAACACCAAGAGAGTGGAGCACATTACACCAGTGCTTAAGTCACTGCACTGGCTTCCTGTGTGTCAAAGGATAGACTTTAAAATCTTGTTACTTGTCTATAAAGCACTAAATGGTCTCGGGCCTAAATACATCTCTGATATACTTGTACGTTATGAAGCATCCAGACCCCTCAGATCATCTGGAACAGGTTTACTCAGTGTTCCCAGGATCAAAACCAAACAAGGTGAAGCAGCCTTTAGTTTCTATGCTCCCCGCCTGTGGAACAAACTTCCAGAATATCTGAGGTCGGCTGAAACTGTCAACTCATTTAAATCAGGGCTTAAAACATTACTATTTACTGCAGCTTACCAGTGAACTAGATATGTAACTTATTGTTAGGATAATCTGTAGCTATTGTTTTTATATTTGTCTGCTGTTGCTTTTGCTTTATGTTTGCTTTTTAAATGCATTTTCTGCACTGTTTTTCTTGCTTTTAGCTTTTGTTTTTAATGATCTATTGTTCCTTTAATGTTTTATCTTAACGTATTTCTCTTGTAAAGCACATTGAATTGCCTTGTGTATGAATGGTGCTATATAAATAAAATTGCCTTGCCTTGGATGCTGAAAAAGCATTTGATCGCGTAGAATGGAGATAGTATTTTATGTTCTCAATAAATTTGGCCTCAGCCCCGGTTTTGTGGAATGGATTAAACTCTTATATCTCCTGTAGCTTCGGTAAATACTAATGGTATAAAGTCATGCTTGTTTCCTTTGCACCGGGGCACCCGTCAAGGTTGCCCCCTTTTGGCCTAACTGTCGAACCCCTAGCCATTTGGCTGTGGAACAAGAATAGGTTTGAGGGTGTCATACGCCGCGGCCATTCTCCATAAACTTTACTTATATGCAGACGATCTCCTGTTATATATTTCGAACCCTGCTTCCAGTCTTCCTATAATTTTGAGTATATTTGAGAAATTTGGAAAGTACTCTGGCTATAAGCTGAACCTGGGAAAGAGTGACTACATCCCCATTTACCCTGCTGCTGACTGTCTCCCTCAAGGTTCCCTCCCTTTTAGAAAAGCTACAGATGGTTTCAAATATCTTGGGGTCCAGGTGACAAAATCATTTACCGAACTATTCTCCAAAAAATTTTAACCCACTGCTCGACCGTTGTAAATCAGATCTTACTAGATGGTCCTCACTCCCAGTCTCATTAATTGGGCGGGTCAACCTGATTAAAATGTCATTATTACCACAATATCTTTATCTTTTTCAACATATACCTATTTACATAAGGAAGACCTATTTTTCAAAACTTGACCAGTTGATAAGCNAAAATGTCATTATTACCACAATATCTTTATCTTTTTCAACATATACCTATTTACATAAGGAAGACCTATTTTTCAAAACTTGACCAGTTGATAAGCTCCTTTCTTTGGGGTAATAAGCGGGCACGAATCAGTCGAGCAGCCCTCCGACTTCCTAAGTCCCAAGGTGGACTAGCACTCCCAAACTTTTGCTACTATTACTGGGCCTGCAATGTTAACAAGCTCCTCTTTTGGAACATATGTAAAACAGTAGACAAATGACCACGGTGGGCTTTGCTTGAGATCTCCTCACACTTCTGTCTTTGGTCAGTGGTATGCTCTCAACTGCCACTGTCATTTAAACAGGTTAGTCTCAATCCGATTGTAACAAATACACTAATGATCTGGAACCAGTTCAGGAACGCATTTGGCCTCCACACACAATCATGTCAATCACCAATTTATCGTAATCACTGATTTCTCCCCTCATGCTCTGATCCAGCTTTCCGTACCTGGTCTGATAGAGGGCTGGTGACTATTGATGACCTCTTTATCGAGGGCATTTTCTCTTCATTTACTGACCTGGTTTCAAAATTTAACTTACCAAATACTCACCTATTCTGTTTCATTCAGATAAGACACTATGTGAAATCTTGTTTTCCCCAATTTCCAAATAGACCACCAGAACCACTGTTAGACCAATTCTTAACCCTCAATACTAAACGGAAAGGGCTTATAGGAATCATATGCAACTACATCCACAGACTGTCTCCTAATCGTTTGAATTCTCTGAGGACTGCCTGGGGTCAGGACCTCAAGATTCCTTTGTCTGATGAACAGTGGGAGAAGATACTTAATAGTGTTCACTCAGCTTCTATTTGTGCGAGACACAACCTCCTACAATGTAAAATCCTGCACAAAGTTTATTTTACTAATGCCAAACTGGCTAAAATCTATCCTGATAGGACAGACACTTGCAATAGATGCAGGCAGTCACCCACTGACTTCGGCCACATGTTTTTGACCTGCCTGCTACTGTCTCAATTTTGGACTGCAATTTTTGAAACAATTAGCAAAGTAGTAGGCCAAACTATAGTGCTTGAGCCTCTTACTGCCTTCTTTGGAATCCCAACCTCAAATCCACAAGGAAAATCATGCACTCACCACCTTGCTTGCTCAAAGACTCATTCTTCTAAAATGGTCTCACTCTGCCCCACCTACTCATAATAAATGGATTCAGGAGGTATTGCACTGCATTACACTAGAAAAGATTAGGTTCTCCTTGAAAGGTTCGTTAGATACCTTGTACAAGACATGGCAGCCCTTTCTAGTACACATTGACTCACTGACTATTGCTGCAGAAAGTAACTGAGCCCCACCCCCCACCCCTTTTTTTTAATTTATTATTATTATTTTGATTTTTTTTTATTTATTTATTTATTTAATTTTAATTATTAATATCTCTCTGTCGGTATTATAGCTGTTTACCTTTTAATTGGTATTCTATTTGTGCATGTCCGATTGTCCAGGGTCTGTGATGATATGAATGGATGGAGTGAATGTGTGGTATCCCAGGGTGGGTGGGACAGAAATGGGATGGGACGGAGGGATTGTTTTATGACAGAACCATTTTTTGTCATGAATGTTGACTAATTGCCTGTGACTTGTTGGGTTCTGTAAAAAAATCAATAAAGAAAGTTTGAATTAAAAAAAAAAATCAAACTTCATTTAGATGACATGTTATTTAAAATCAGACTTTATTTAATTTACATTTTATTTAAGTCTAACTTTATTTAAATTAAATTTTAGTTAAAATCAAACTTTATTTGAAATCTATTTGAAATCTAACTTTATTTGAATTACATTTTTTTACATTAAATTTTATATAAATTAAATTTAATTAAAAAATCAAACTTGATTTAAAATCAAACTATATTTAAATCAGACGTCATTTGAATTAAACTTTATTTAAAGTCAGTGTGTTTGTGTCTGTCAGTATGGGCGGTACCTGCAGTACGGCGCGGAGGAGTGCCTGCTGATGATTGGAGGACTGATGTGTCCGTCGCCCGGCTGTGGGGCGGGGCTTCTTCCACCTGATGGCGGCAGGAGGGTGGAGTGTGACCGACAGCTCGGCTGTGGTTTCATCTTCTGCAGAGACTGCAGGGAGGGCTACCATGAGGGTGTGTGTCCCGCGGAACAGGCCACGCCCATAGATGAAGCCTCTCAGGTAAGCTGGCCAATCACAGAGCTCCTGACGAAAACAGGAACATATGACATCATCTCAGGCACTGAAATATATCAAACACTGCTCTTCCTCCTCCTCCTCCTCCTCCTCCTCCTCCTCCTCCTCCTCAGGTTTTTGTGGTGGAGGAGGAGGCCTCTCAGAGGGGGAGGTGGGATCAAGCCTCCATGCTCCTCCTGCAGGAGTCGACCAAACGCTGCCCTCAATGTTCAGTTCCTGTGGAGAGAAACGGTAACAGTACAACTACTGTATCTGTCTGTGTGCAAGTATTGTGTCTGTCTGTGTATAAGAACTGTATCTGTCTGTACTCTGTATATGAAGTACTGTGTTGTATCCCCCTGCAGGCGGCTGTATGCACATGCAGTGTCCTCTGTGCAGAGCTGAGTGGTGTTGGCTCTGTGGAGTCACCTGGAACACAGACTGTATGGGAAACCACTGGTTTGGATAGAACCTACTATCATGGGGGGGAG